ACCCCCCCACTTCAGCTCCAACATCTACTACTCTCTTTTAATAGATGCGATAATTTGTGTTTTTTGTAAAAAGTAACATCCATTACAAAATAATAAAATTAGTTCTACCAAAAATCAACCAAAATGAGTAAATTTATTTCTTTTGCTTGATTTTCTGGGCTAAAATTAGAGTTGATGTAAATGCAATAATTGCAGAAATAACTATGAGAGTAAGAAAGATGAAAAACAAAATGAGGGGTTCTGGTTTGATTGAGTTAACTGAACTGATTTTCCAGCTGAGTTTGAAAAACTTTGTCATGCTATGTTTTTTTCTATGTCTGATATTCAATTTGAGAATGAAAAAATAACTGATTTAATCGTTAATGTTTCGTTCGATAGCCCAAACAATTCAATCAAAATTGCAAGAGCTATGCTGAGGTTTGGTTTTTTGTAGATTTCTGTGAAGGGTCTCAGATTTTCTGTGAATAGATTCACACCCGGGTCGAGGTCACAGACTCATGTCCAGAGTTTGAGGGTCTCCCCGCATCCAAATTTAGACCCAAAGTACATAGTCGCGCCGAGAGTTTGAGTTTGGAAAGTCGGGACATGAGTCGCGCCGTCGGCTGCAAAAGTCTGGACACTCCAATATTTGGTCGTGAAATTGTGGACATGGTTCGCGAAAGTCTGGACATACCAAAATTTGGTCGGGAAAATTTGGGCATGGGTCTCGATAGTCTGAACATGCGTAATTTTGGTCTGAAAAGTCTAGACACGCCAAAATTTTGTCGCAAAATTCTGGGCATCATTCTGGGACCTCGACGCGGGCAAGAATAAAAATTGAGAGGGATTGAGCTTTGAGCATTTTTTTCTCGTTTTAGAGGGATTGATTTTGTCGTTGTGAAAGGGTTTTTCTTCTGAAATTTGTAACTTGTTGTGTTATATTTGTTTTTTTTTAGCATGAAGAGTCAGTAAAATTCAACTTCCAGTATAAAGTTTGACAATAAAACTGTAACTTATCGATGGTTTGATCTTGTTTCTATGATTGAAATTATGAAATAAATACTAGATATTCAAGTTGTGTCAATGAATGTCAATGAAATAACTGTTAGAGATCCAATTAGATTACTGTGGCTTGTATTTTATAGTTAGAAAAACAATAGTCAGTTTTTCGGACGACACTTTCCTCGTTTTGAGTGGACTTTCTGCAAAAAATAAAGAAAGATAAATTTTCCTAGAATTTTTCAAAACCTATTGTTTTTTATTTTGATTTTTGGACATAGATTTTAGGACTAGTTTAATGTCTGAAACGTTTTATAAATTTTATGTTGTGATAGCCCAAACAAACCAATTGTGATACAAAAAGGTACAACTTTTTAATTTTAAAGCATTATAACAAAACTTTAACAGATTTTCAGACATCACTTTTCGCGAAATTATTTAGAAAGAATAAAATGCTCAATTTTTATTAAATCAATCGAAAATTGACTGAGTACCTTCTGCGTATTTTCTTATCAAACAGACCGAGCCCCCCCCAAAAAAAAAACATTTTTTTTTGTGGTTAAATATGACGACCCAGTTTCGTTAAAAAATGTTAGCTGAAGCAAAAATCTCAGCAAATTTTATACTCGTAATTTTTGTCCCAATCATAATCAATTTGAGAATGAAAAAAAAACTGATTTAATCATAAATGTTTTGTTCAACTTTTCTGTGCAATTAAAATCAACACCCGTGTTTTTAGGGATGTTTTTACATAAAAAACAGAAAATCAAAAGTTTTCTGTTTCAATGGTACAACTTGCGCAATTCAAATTCTTGATCACGAGCTGTTGCAAATTTCATGAGCATTGTTTTTAAAACTCTCTTTTTCAAAACGCATCACTAACCACTGATTTTTAATTTTTTTTTGTTATTCTCGGTCATAAATTTTTCTCAATGATAATCATTTATCATTTACCAGTCCTCGAAATTAAACGGAAGCCAAAGGCCTCACAGTCCATAACAAAGGACCATGTGAGAGCGTTCCTTGATTATACCCCTGTACCAAGTTTTTTATGTTTGTTGCTGTTCAGCATACTTTAATTGATAAAGTTTTTATTCTGTTTCCTCACTTACAGACTTTTATTTTTCAACTTTAGCAATAAAACTGTTAACAAAGTCGCGTGTGTTCAAATTTTACAAAATTGGCTCATAATTTTTTTGTCACTTATACATGCTCTTCAAAATTGGAGCAAACTTTTCTTCTGATGTTCTAAAAGTTTCAGTTTTGCTGGATCTATTGATGTTGCGCAACAAAAAATTGTTATGTCTCTGCAACTAGAGCAGAGTAGTTTTGTTCGCAGTTCCATAAATAAATACTCCATATTGAACAATGACTGAGTGAAAACGTTGAAGGTTTTAACTAACAAATTTTTCTTGTGGACTAGAAAAAATTAGGATAAAGTAGCTTTTACGACTTACTTACTGCCGCGCAACGTTTTGGAAATTTCAAATTTTTCCAATTACGACCCTAAAAATCTGCATTTGTTTTTAAGGCTTAGTATTGTTTAGTCCCACAAAATAAACGGTAGGGAAATCTAATTTTCGGCTGTAGTCATATATTGAATTAGTTAAATGTGTTTTTTGAGTGTGTGAATTGTGCAAAAATAACAACATGTTTTTTTCGATTAGTTTCTCTAAAATTTTGCCCAGATTTTAGTTCTTCGTTTTCAGTGTTTTCTTTCTGATTTTTTAATATAATTTATTCTGATTTTTTTTCCATTTTTGTTAGTTTTCAGAGATTGTTTGGTTTGACTTTTTGGCAACTTTTTTTAGAAAAATTTTTATATCTACCCTTCATGTTATTTACTTGATTTCTTTCTCAATATAAGGAAATGTATGAACAGGATTTCGGGTCAAACTGAGCCACTATTGGTGATAGGGTTATTTTTGAACTGAGCAATGAAAGTCTTCGAATCACACACGAAAAACGACACAAATTTGAAGTGAATAAAAAAAAATGTTTTTTTTTAGTAAATGTGGTCGGAAATTTCTGTGCTGCTTGCACAGCACGTGTACTCTTGTTTTGATTGCCGCTTACTTCATTTGCATCATATCAGATTTCAGACCATTTGAAGGAGGCTCCACCTCCCCAAATTGATTAAGAGAGGGAGGGGGGAGTTCACTTGGTTTTTTATTAATTGTCTTTTATTTGCTTGAGACGGGGAGATAATTTACTTGGTTGAGGTGGGAGGGGGTACCAGTGTTTTAGTTACAAGAGATTATAAAAGTACTATACATGATGGGGGAGGGCTTTGCTTTATTGTTGTCGTGTAGTGCAACCAAAAAGATTCAATGAAGACGGTAAGTATGTACATGATAATGTAAGAAACAATTTGAGTAGAGATAAAATGTTGAAATTTAAACTAAAGCACAACCAAAGTAGATCTAAATCGCTTCTAATCTCTCCCATTTTCCTCTCTCCAATACAATTCGGGTATTATATTGTTACAAAAGGCGTCCTTGGTTGAATGCAGCAGGTATTCTTGCTCAATTGGTCAAATTTTTATCTGAACAATTCCAAAAAATGTGGACCAATTTTTAAAAATTCTTGAACACATTGCCCCCGATCAATTACATTTATTATCTTTTGAAAATAGCTAAGCTAGGTAAATGTTCTGAAACCTTAGTTTTTTCAATGCCTTTTTTCTCTTTTATATCCTCGGAATATTTTTTAAGAGGATCTATGTTGATTGAATATCGGTATATGAACGATTTTTGATTCGGAAAACCTAATAAATAACAGATATCAACCCGGGTTAGGTGAGTTTTTGTTTTAATGTTTCGACTGACGCGACCTATTTCAGTTGTGACGCGACCAAATCGAAACCTTCAACAAGGCCAGCAACAATGCCAGCAATCGAGATAGCGTAACGTCACTTTTTTCTCTTTTTTAGACAGTGGCGACCAAATTCTAGGTAGTTTTTGTCATGTGCTGTTTTTTGGGATTGACTAATGGACCTATGTTTTGAGTTTGCTCCAAAATAGTCATTTGCACTTCTGTTCCTAAACTCCAATTCTTACGAAAATGACTCTCGCACATATTTACTGAGAGTAGCTTGTGAAGTTATAGTGATAATATGGGTGAAACTAGCCGAAAATCAAACTGGCAGACTGATGTGTCATTTTTTTTTCAACGCGGTTAAATAAAAAAGATTTTGTCGAATCTAGCTGAAGCTTGTTGAATCGACTCCAATAACTATGAAGTTTTAAATGTTATTTTTTGTCGGTCTTCATAAAAGGAAATTGTAGATTTGTCTGATTCTTTAGTTGTTTTAATTAAGTTCTGAGAAACATGTAAATACAATCATTTGAGCGTTTATCTGTTTTGGGTTGGTGTTAGAAAAGCTGTTTTTGATGTCGAGTTTTCATTTTGATCAAATTTCAATGTTTTGGCTACACGTATATGTCAATGGGGTCTAAATAGCATGTTTGTTCCCATTTCAGTCAGTCCCTTGTTTGTGAAATTCATAAACTGTGAAGTTCAAGACGATTTAGCAGAAGTTCCTGGGAGTTTCTTGGCATTTTGATTTTGTCGCCCGTTTAAATTCTTTGTCCAACTTCCTCATAACATAAGTTAAGATTCTCTCTACAAATCTAATTTTTCAAAAATTGTACCCGGTTACTAGCAAATAAAAACAGAACCCTCTTCATTTTAAAAAAGAATAGTCTCACATGACTAAAAATTCACATACTTTTCCTTATAGTAATAATTGTTATTATTGTTATAATAACTATAATGATGATTATAATGAGCAAAACATTCACATAATTTTCCTTCGAGTTACACGTTACACGAGAGAAAAATGAGAAGTCGAAAAATGTTTCCTAACCATTTTCAGTTTTTCACGACCTGATTTTAACACTTCGTCTTTTTGTAAGTTAGGCCTAAATCCGTTGATTTCATGGCCGTTTTTCCGGAATATGAGTTTCAAAACCAAAACCAAACTGATCCCTATGCCTTATTCCGTTCTGCTATACGCTTCCCTGAATGTCAAACTTTCTTTTGCATAACTTCGCTTCAGAAATTTGGTTTCAACTTGTCTCATACAAACATACCAAGAGCAATTTTGTTGCCATTGATGGCCCCGTGCAAATAACACATTGCGTTTCTCACTCTATTGATTACGCTGCATTATTATTATTACCAACCAGAAATTTCTTCTAATAAAATTAAAATTGTGACCCTTTAAAAATATTTAATGCCTTGATCCTATCTGATCTAAAAAATAAAGTTAAATCTTTGCTAGGTTTTGCAGCAATTGCGAGTTCAAACTTTTGACATGCTCAAGTTATATATTAGGGCTCTTGTGATATTTTGACATTAAATTTTAATAAGAGCGCTGGATCTATATAGTTTTTTCTTGTCTCAAATAATATCATCGGCAACACTGAAGCTTTTAAAAAAGTTTCTTTCAAAATTATCAAGAAATTCTGCCATATATGCCGTTTTTTTTGTTGCTTTTTTGTAGTCGAAATTTCCGCGCAATCTGCCGCAATTTTAGTACTTTGGCGGGGAAGGAGAGAGAGAATGAGAGCTCTCTTCTAGCTAGGGGTTCGAACCATGTACCAGCCAAAATAGCCCTCCTTTTCGTACTATTTCAGGAAACACATTTAATCAAAAGTTTTAACCAAATTATGTGTGTTTTTGGAAGTTTCTACAGTTGTGTGTGAATCCAAAAGGGAATTTTAATCAAAGCAGCTCAAATTTTTCTATGATTCTATGATTTAAAAAGTGTAGCAACACCTCATGGTGCCCAATGTATAAATACTTTATACCTCATTTTCTATTTCAATACCTTTGGGCCAAATTTGATTCTAATAAATTTCCGTTTCCTGTATCATCACCTTATGATTTGCTTTTCTTTTTCAAAAACGGTTGCCCCATTTGTATTCAATTCAAAATACACAAATTTGAGCACCTGCTAAGCTGAATCAAATTGCAATTGAGCAACACTGATTGATATTAATCATATTTGTAATTCGAACCCCAAATAAAAAGCTATCTGGCACCCCGAACTCATAACTGACGGTCAATTTCAACCATATTCGACGCTCTGAAAATTTTTCACATGCTATAGTCGCATTGGCTATAAAGGGATATTAATATAGTTTGGCTAGACGCTAATGGTTCTCTCTCGCTCTCTCTCTCTCTCCTGACAATTACAAACAAAAAGATTATCGTGCCATTTGGCCCATTTATATGTCAATTGTCAAAATATGCCCACCAGGGTAGCGAACCTAACTCAGAAACCCAGCATTCGATAGACGATCCTTACCTCTCACTCGCGCCACTAGCCCGCTGTCAGGAAAAAGTGGGAAAAAAACCGGTGCAATTTAAATAAGCTTTGAAATAATATAGCCCATAAGTCCTTGTATTATTACACTAGCAGTAAATTTTTCAAAAGTTGAACAGTATGGAATAAAAATCGCAGATCAGATAAAAGCTCTTCAAAAATTCGGTTCTGTTTCCCATCATTTTATTTTCGAATCGATTTTTTTTTTCGATTATTTTTATTGCTATTGTTATCTCTCCGTGGGCTAAAAAGCCCTCCCTTTCATAACAATCCGATCCATATCAATAAAAATTTTAATTTCCTGAAATTCAGTTCAAATCCCGCTTCTGCTTTGACTTAGTGTTATTCTGTCCCCAAATAAAGCAGGTTTAAATAAGTGAGTAAATCTGCTCCTCAGTTGACTTTTCCCTATATTCTTTGAAGGGGTCAACTAGTTTCATCGGCAGCATGGTTTACATAAACAAGAAGCATCGCTTCAGGCGCAAAATGTAAGTTTATTTTAGGTTGCCTTATTTAGCTACTGCTATTCCCAGCTGACGGTATAAGAGATCTCAACTCTGATTAAAAATCGAAAAACGCAAAAAAACTATAGACTTTTTTAGTGTTCTAGAATTTTGTCTTGTTGGGATCTACCGCGAAGATTGTATACGGCTGACTCGGTAGCTACTCTAAACTTAGGAAAAACACTATTAGAAACTCACTTTTTTAAAACTCACGTTCCGAGTCCCAATCCGCGATACATTCATTTGATTTTTTGAGATTTATTACACTTAGTTGTAATATGTATGCTAGTATCATAGAATTTGGATCATATTTTTTCTAACGCTGCAAGCTTCTACAAGACGAGGTGGTTAGCCAAGTGTTAAAATTTTATCAATGTTGTGATCGGAACATTCGCAAACAAGAATATGGAGAAAAAGCTGATCAGTACACCACGCATGTCAAATTTGGTTTTGGTGGATGTTGAGAAGTTTTAAACAGATAATTTTCAACCAAATTTTGAAACGTTTCGACCAGAATAACCCAGATTAATAGGGCAAAGGCAATTACGACGAATTAAAAGCGTAGCGTACCGAACTGATCAAAATTACGCACCCCTGAAAAACTTTATACCGCGTCTGAAAGTAGTTTGCTCAGTAGCTACGCGCTACTAAACAAAACAAAAAACTGCGCGCAACAATGATTTTCTTACATTATGTGGCTTACACATTACTTTTTAAGTGAAACAATTTGAGAAAACACAAAATCAACTTGTGGCAAGATTTGGATTGAGGCTTTGCCTATTTAAAAATTCATTTTTGGGCATTATTAAAACATTTCATAGTTTCGCGAGAACAGACTAATTTTTCGAAAAGTTTACGGCAGTCAAAAAAGAAATCAAGTAAAGAAAAATGTGGCCATACAGTTGCGTTGATGTCTGATAGTTCTTAGGCGGGAGAGCGTGCAACCCCCTATCAGATAATTGGGTAGTTTGGTTTCAAAGCTGGAAACTGAAGCTTTGTATCCAATTGTAATCTATTTGATATTAAGTTGAAACTTCATCGGAAGATATATGTAACTTGCGAGTACTTTTTACTGTAACCGTGGCCAACTGTTGTTGATTCAGCCCAATTAGCAACCATATTTACAGATTGCCAGTACCAGATTCAAACACTATCTCTTTTGTACTTATCTCAATTTTTTTAGAAAAAGTTGTCTTTTTGTGGATTCTATCACTTCTTCTAGAAGAAAAAAAATATTTGCTTGAAAGGTTAAAAATATCACAAAAAAGTATCTGAAAAAAAAACTTTTTTAATGCAAGGCACCATTGAGAGTTGTACGTTAATAAATTTTTCCTAGGAAAACAAAGATTTAAATTTTTGAATTTTCTTCCACCAGGTGCATGCGAGATACTTGCAAAAATCTTGATAACGAACCACAAATAGCTGCTAACACAAAAATGCTTCTGTCATCGTTAAAGAACATACGTCGCCCGAAATGAACCTGTTTACGCTGCAACGATGATCCCCACGTATTCTGCATGAAGTTGCAACATCAACGAAATTAGGCAGCAGGTCTCAGAAACAATGCCAAAGACAAAGCCATTTAAAAAAAATCCCAAAAATCGGAATTCTTGCATAGTGGTGATACACTTTTTCACGACTACGGCATTACATCAGACAGACTTTTTGAGTACCAAATTTGCATGTTTTTGATCTTTTTTCTATCAGCGCGGTGTTTGACGTTGCGATAGAACTTTTTATGAATTTTTCGATTGGAATTAATTTTTTCTATCAAGTTTGTACAATTCAAGGTGTAATCAAAGGAAACTTCACATCACAAGTTTTTGGCATATCACATAAAGTTGACGTAAGATACAAAAATTTCTTCATGCAGAAAAGTTTCAGGTTTGCTTAAGGTTTGCAGTTTAAAAAACTCTCATGCATTGCATTTGTGCTAATAGAGGACGTTGTGTTCGCATTTGAAGATCTGCGATAAAAATGGTTAGTGCTATTTTACCAAAAACGCGATAACTTTTAGGGAGCGTCAACTTACTAGTGCGAGGAGCTCAAAAAATGGAGCAAAAATTAAAGTGGCTGGCATGAATGTTCATAACAATGTTTTTCAAATTGAACCTCAAGTTGACAGTGCTTTGGAACGACGGAATGGCAGTTTAAATAACTGTCGCAACGAAGCATCCATGTTAAATCTGATTGATCTCTAGCTTCCAAGACGAGCAAAAGAATGCAGAAATCATCGTCGAGAGACTCACTGCGTGATAAAAAATAGAAAAGAGAATAAATAATGTGCATACCTGTCAAAATTTTTGAAATAACACAACAAAATTGCTCGTATCAGGGCGAAGCCCTGAATGGTCCTAATAAACTATTCTAATGTTAACCCTGAATATGTACAAGTATGTACACTAACTAAGGATTTAAAAGAATAAAATGATTGAGAAAGAATTATGCTGTCTATTCTAAAAACAATATTAAACAATGAATGATCGACCGATGATCGATATGAAGCCTAATTGGCAGATATCTAATTAATGCCAAGATCAATAGATTAAACCAAATGAACAACTCACAACATTCCCCATCGGGAAAAAACTAAAATTTACAATTAGCTAAAACTAAGTCTTTATACACCCATTTCCCCCTCAAAGTAGAGATGAACAAAATTTATAAGTTGTAGAAAACAAAACGAGAAGAACAGAACAAAAATTTCTTTTTTACAAATTAGGTTGGCATGTACAAATATGCACAAAATGGGTGAACTTTACAGAAAATTACCTAAACAACACTAATTATAAACGGGAGATAAAATAAATCTAAGCTACCAACTGTACACACAAAAGTACACACAACGTAAAAACAGTGGGGCCATTTAAAAAAATCTTGAAATAAGGAAATTGATAATGGAGTCTTAGATAAGATCGACGAGTTTTAACTGTACTCGGCGTCGAATTCATCTAATGATTGTCGTAAGTCCTGTTCTATTGTCGACGAAATATCGCTCACAGAGTCTTGTTCTGAGGCGATGTTGGGGAATTTCCCGGTGGGAGACTTCCACGATGTTGGGGTCAAGTAAGTAGTCTGAGCATTCACCGTTGGAGTAGATTTAGACGCGTTGTTTCGGCGACCAGAACTTTTTTTTGGGAGGTTTAGTGAGAGGAGTAAGGAAATCAGATGGAGACCCGCACACGAAAGTAAGGGTCGTCAAGGAACTTATTTCGGGCCCATGTTGCGTCTCAGAGCCCTCTACGATATCCACATATCGAAGTTCTCCGTAGAACTGTGGTGGTCCCACATTTCTTCTAGGTCTGATTGCAGATCTAGTCTGAGTGGCAATACGAGGCGTCTCCTCTGATGTGCTGTCCAGCACTATTGGTTCTGATACGGAACCGGATGATGATGGCCCTGGAGGACTGCTGGAATGGGCCGCGACCGATGGTCCGCTGGGTATTTCTTCACCTGTAAAACTCAAATAGACGTTATTGTAAGATTCCTGGTTAAATGGGGCATTGTTATTTGAAACATCCTCGAACTACTCGTTGATTAAACGGTCCAACGAGTTAAGATTTAGCAAAGACGAGGAAAATGAACCTGACGATTTCTGCGGGGATTTCGGAATGACGATGACTTTTGTCGATGGATTCGTGTTAGTCTGTGTGAACGTCGGGTTGACTTCTTAGGAGGAGATAATTTACTCTTTCCGGCTAAACTTGGAAAGCATGAACTATCGGTACCCTCTGGTTGAGTATTAACAAGGATCTTAGAAGTGCCCGGAAGTATTTTCTTTTTGACTGCTAGGTCGGATTTGCTTAAAATGTGTCCATTTTCCAAAGTGACAGTGTGGTCCGAAGAATCAACAATTGCCTCTTTGACGGGATTAAAATACGGGTCTTCATTTTTCTGATTGGTGTTTTTTCTAAAAAATAAATTACATCCGGTGGTCAATTTTGATATAGTAGGCCGTTTCCGATGGGAGATCGGGATTGGAGTTGTCCGGTTTCCGTGGGAGATCTTGGCCAGCGGGATGTCCAATTCTGAAGAGGAGTCCATGACTGCAACCTCGTATCCTTCCTCTGCTCCATCGTGTAATTCCCAGTTCTTTACCCAACGGTCTGACATGATTGACTTTCCTTGATCTAAACGATTATCAATAGAAATCAAGTTTTTCTATCTGGCAAGTGTTTTTCGAATGGGGTACATCCGATGGAAGGTCGTTCATAATCCGAAGGTTCAAAATAATTTTTCGGATTGAAAGATTTAAAGTCAACTTGGTCAATTCGTATGACATGGCGAGAAGTTTGGGTTGTACAGTATATACAAGTCTTTCAACAAGTCCATTTGATCTATGACCACCTACTGTAAATTAAATATTCCCTTTTTACATTTTTCGCAAAAGTTTTAAAATCGTTTGATAAAAAGCATGACGCATGGTCGACCCTGATTTTTCTTGGAAAGCCGTGAAGATGGAGTAATCGTTCAGAAAATAATTAACTGAGTCCGCTAGTTTGCTCACAGGATCCGATCCCCACAAAACCTTAAGGTTTTACCGGTTTTTGAACATTGTTTGCAAGATTTGCCGTAGTAATAGATTTCCCTGCAAATATGCGGCCACCAGATATATTCGGCCAGGATCTTCATGCCAAACTGGCGTGGATGGGACTCATGCAACATCGGACTGAATGCGCCTCGGGCCGCAGCTGGCACCACTATTTTGTTTTCTAAGAAGATTCCATGAAGAGCAGTTAGTCTTTAGTGTGCAAGTCCTTCTCGTAGTTTTTCATGTACGATCCGTGCCTTCCAAGTAGGCGTCCTGTCTTCAATGTCGTGATTAGGTTCCATAAGAGTTTGTCGTCCTTGGTCATCATTTGAAGTAACTTCTTGGAGCAATGATTTTCCAGTATAATTGGAGAAGAAGGCAAAGATAAGTTTGCTTTGTAACGTTTCAATAAGGTCAAGTGATCGTTATTAAGTAGATCATCTTTAATTTTTAA